ACTACAATCACCAGTAATTATGTGACTTATTTTCCTATTGCATTCATTTTGGAGAAAATTACAGCTTTCAGGAATTTCATTAATTGTATGACTATGCAGCCACCATCATGTTAAATTGAGATTAGATGCGAAATAAAGTTGGCCGAGCCATTTCGAAATGATCAAATTTACTCTTCAGTCTAATATATTTACGTTCAGAAATCAGACCATTCGATTACGCATTTCAAACTAATTGCACCGGTTTACGTGCAGTTTCTCTTCATTTTTACGCACCAAACAAATGAAGCATTTTAGGAGTTGGCGACAGCCGTGTGCCATCTCCTTTTCTTTTTCATTTTAAAATGAGAAGCATATTTTCAATCGATAATCCTCTAACCAGCCAAATCTTTTTCCCTATCGTTTGTGTTCAAATGATTTATAACTTTGGGTGAAAACTAGGTGAAATTTTATTCACTTCACTATCCTATAAAAAGGATATCCATAAATGAGTAAGCATAGCACTGTTTACTCAATGGTTTTAAATTCTCCACTCGTTGGGCAACCAATTCATAAAGAATTGATAGAAAGTGATTTGCATTTTTCTTTGCGCATATTCTTCGTGTTTCTCAAGTCGAAGCCTGAAAAGATAACTAAATATAGGCATAGCTATTTCCGTCAGGTATACTCTAGTTACTTGACATAACCTAGGGGAAAGAAATATGTCCTTTATCGTGTGCTAATTCTCAAAAGTAATTATTGGCAGTCCATTCTGATTTATGGGACCATATTAAACTTCAATTCGAAAGAGCAAAAGTGGAGAAAGGCAAGGCTAAATACTCGTAGACTTAGAGAATGCATTTGTAATCTGCCGTTGACTTTAATACTTATCAAAAACCAACATCATTTTCTGGGCAACTGAGAGGTGAACCACCTGTGAGTCTACAAAGACATTGGTAAAGAGATAAGTGATTGTTCGTGGTCATCCAGAGTACTGGTAAATAAGGAGGGGCGGTATACAAGTTTTTCAATGATGCGGCTCCAGCATAGCTGCCCACTGCCCAAATTAAATATTGGCGACACTACTCACAATAGCATTCGAAATTTAATTTCATATCGAAAACTAATGTCTTGTATTTTCTCCCCTAGAAATAGCTCATGAAATATTCCAGGCTTATTCATATTTAGGTTTGGGAATTACAATATTTACCATTCATTACGAATTCGATCTCCATTCTTCCAAAGAGGATGTAGGGAGATGTAGCAATTAGCACATCCTGCAAATGCTTTACATGTAGCACGTTGTTACTTGTCAAAATTAAGGGTCCAGTTAACTATACATG